ATGTTGATGTTGATGTTGATGTTGATATTGATGATGATGATGATGATGTTATTGAAGTTGATGTTGGTGTTGATGATGATGATGATGATGATGATGATGATGATGATGATGATGATGATGATGATGATGATGATGATGATGATGATGATGATGATGATGATGATGTTGATGATAATGATGTTATTGAAGTTGATGTTGGTGTTGATGATGATGATGATGATGATGATGATGATGATGATGATGATGATGATGATGATGATGATGATGATGATGATGATGGTAATGGTGATGATGGTGATGATAATAATAATCATAAAAATCAAAACAATAACAGTGATAATTATAATAAAAAATAATATAAATATCATATCTACTGATAGAACTTGAAGTAGCATTGCAGAGGCTAAAGGATACTGACAGTGAATTTCTATGCAGTGCAATAATAGTTTTTCATTAAAAAAAAAACATTGCATGGTGCTCTGTGCAGTAAAATACTGAAATTTTTAACACTAGATGAGGATTCCAGTTGTCTGGGTATTATCCTGGTATGGATAACATAAACATCAAGAAGTAAACGACTTGGAAATAGAGACGAGGCAGTACGCAGGAACACTGGATCCTGTGGTAGAGGAAAATTACAAAATCTTGCAGCTATTTAAAATGAGAAACTCATGACTGGTTCAGACATACCACAAGCTTGGAGGTAAAATAAATTATTACAATTATAAAGAAAGAGAGTTGCCAGAGCAAAAAACATGTAAAAAGCACAAGCAGAGGAAAGTAACATACGAGTGCGACTGGTGTAAGTTAAAAGGATGAACAAATGTAGAGACTGAAGTAGCCTGAGTGATGGCCTGGAATTGGAAGCAAACACATCTTTTGGGGGCCTTACCAGAGAAAATTGGGCAGCTTTGCACAAAACTTCTAAGATCATCTCTAGAGAAAAAATACACAAAATGCTTTTTCCTTTGCTTGACACATGTGCTGAGTGAAATCTTTCCTTCCTATATCACTCAAAAACAATAAAAATCTGTTCATGCATATTTATCTATAGCACACTGATAATACATCAAACAACTGTTTCCCTACTGAAATATACCAACCAAAGCACATTTCACTCCATCTTCAGATCTTTAACCCATTGCTGCCAGGGAAATGCACTGTCAACTGTAGTTTTCTTTTGTGAATTTTGTTTGCACACAGATGTCTTCACAAATGCATAGCCTCCAAAGGGCTAATCAATATGACCTCATCTGATTTCCCAATTCCTTGAGTTTTTGAATTTCTTTTCTAATGCTATTAATGCTGATGGTGCTGATGCTATTATTGATATTTTGTGGTTGTTATAATGTTATTAACAATACAACTAGCCATAAAAATACAAAGCATATTTATGAAAATAAAGGAAAAGGTAAACATGTGAGAAAGGTAGGACTAGTAACTGGCTCTTTAGTGATTAAGCACTTGTGGAGCCATCTATATGTAAAGATAATTAATAAACAAAAGAACACAATGGACATAGCATGTATTTTTGACATCCTAGCATCAGGGGGTTAAATGCAACTTCCCTATTTCATATATGAATATATCATAAGCTTTAGTAACTAGAATCTCATCTATACTGAAAGTGTATTTCAGGGACAAAATCTACCTGCCATAACGTTAACTTTTATCTTTTGAAGAGAGCCTTATTTTTTCTCAAATTAGTCTAATGGTTTTCTACAGCTCTTCACAATTTTTTTCATTCTTTTGTCCCTAAAAATTCATCTCTATTCTATTCAATAAAATGGATTTCACATCCACAAAGTTAGACAATATAAGTAGAAACAAGCGCCAAGTACAATGTCATAACAAAGTAATAAATTATTCTGAAACACATCAATGAACATGTACATTAAATGTGTCAGTATTCATAACTAAAGGTTTTAAGTTCTTATGGGATTACAGTAACAACAGGTTCTAATACTAGGGTCTTTTTCTGTTACTGCATTCTAATTAAAGATAAGGGGAATATATTTTCCTAAAATTGGCTGTTGCATTCTAAAAAATAATAAACTGCTTTCAACTAATTACCTATATTCTAACAATCTTTATCAATTATTTTGAGAAATATTACATAAATAAGTCATAGTGAAGTTCCTGGTTAGTCACAGAACAGTGAGCAAGGCAAATAGAGCAGCTGTCAGGCAAACTGCTCTCATATTTCTGCAAACTGTCCTATAAAAAAAATCCAAGATATATGCTGGATAACTTGGTATGCCTCTTTGAACATGACTAATAATATTCTAAAAAAAAAAATCTTGTATATATAAAAAAAAAAATTACAAGTAAATCTGAAGACCTCAAAATAGATAACCACATGTTTATATATAAATATATATTCAGGATTCCCAACATACAAAGCACCAAATTACCAAATACACATACAAAGCTTCTTTTACAAAGACAATTTTTGGGGTTCAACAAAATACAATGGTTAAAAAACAATATTTACAACATCTATCAAATGACTAGGCCTGTACCATAATTACAGTATGACTAAGGCTGAATATAATCACTAAAAACATTTCTATCTCTAATCCACCAACCATTATATGAAGAACAAATTGCAAGAACCCACTCAATTTCTGACTTACCTTTTGTGCCAAATGCAAAACTGCCTGCTCTACGCAGTTCATCAACAACATCTGTGTCTCGACTTCCATCCCACATTCCTGTTTTGCGCTTTTCAAATTCCTTAGGGCCATCCTTTTCCCGGTCACGAATCAATGTGTGGGAGAGATCTTTCAAGCTACCATTCCAGTGAACAACATGAGCATTTGGATTGATCTTAGCCTTTCCAACCGTCTCTTTTGTTTTCTCTACCCAATGCTCAGTTCCTTCTGGATCTTCTTCACCTTCACTGGACTCGGAGTCAGATGACCCTGTTAGGGAGGAAGCTGATGCTGAGGAGGATGAGTCTAATGTGGCCTTTGGAGCTTCTCCACTATTACACAGCACACTTTTCCCCTCTTTCTTACTCTTACCACTTTTACTATTCTCTCTTTCCCCCCCATCGGCATATCCATTTTTTGTTTTCACACTTTCATGAGTAACTCCGTTTTTTGAACTATCAGGGTCACTACACTGCACGTTTTTTGACTTATCATAATTATTACTTAGTCCGTTTTTTGGAACACTAGACACAGAACCATTTTTTCCTAGGTCATTTTCACTCTTCTTATTCACCTTCATCTTGTCTTCTGGACGGCACTTCTTAGAAGGACTCGATGGTTCATTGTCATCTCGATCCCTAATCCTCTTGCTCTGAGGTGCGTCAGCTTCACTATCTGCATCTCCCTTCCCCAAGGCATGACCATTCTCTAGGACATTCTGTTTGCCATTGGTTGCTTTATTCTTGCATTTGCTTGGATTGTGTAATACCATGGTGTCATTGGGCAGATCTTCCTCTGGTTCTGCCAGTTTTGCTTGACCTTCTGGGTGCTTTGATTTACTACCCTGCTGAGTTTCACTGTGTGGTGGAAGGGCCTCGGGCTGGTCATCCTCTGGGCTGTCTGGGCTGCGAGCTGAGGTAACACAGGTAAAGAGGGAAAAGATAGACTTTTTCATTGATTTAGTTGAGCGATCAGATCTTGTGCTATCTACACTAGCTTTGCTCCTTAAACTGGCTGAATCTGGCTCGTCTTTTTTGTGGCTTGGCCCAGGAAGAACAGAGTCATGCGAGTGTGACTTTTCAAGCTCTGGTCGCTGCCTTCTCACTGTCACTGTCCATCCCTGATGCTGGAGCTTTTCAAGTTCCTGAGGTTGATGTTTGATTTGATCATTCTTGCTACTGGTTGGCTGATCAACAACAGTAAATGAGGCAGCATGACAACCACCAGCACTGCTATTACTACTTTCGCTTGGCGAGTGCAGAGCTGCATCTGAGACAGTCCAACCCAAGTCGCTTTTTCCTTTACTACTTTCGCTACTTGTGTGGAGCTGGTTGGCACTAGTGATCACCTGAAGTGATCTGGGTAAGAACGGTGCTGTTATACCACCTTTATTGGAACTAATACTACTTTTAGCACCACTTTCACTGTCATTATTTTTACTACTCTTATTATCACTATTGGCACTCTTTTCTACATTCTTGTTATGTAAACAACCATTCATCTTAACACCATTTTCTTTTACATTTTTCTGGTGTTCATCACATTTAGCCTTGCCATTCTGCAAGGATTTTTCTTTGTGCCCATTCATGGGCCCTCGCTTTGAGTCATCTGACTCAGACTCTTCAGAGTCATCAAGATAGGGAACTAAACTAGATAAAGGCTTCTGAGCAGCAGAATTCTTGTTAGGTGTTGATGAAGGTGGTGATGATGTGCTTAGGGATGATACCGAAGGTTTGGATGAGAAGAGAGAATTAGATGATGCTGAAGATTTTGTTCCTAGCAAAGAAGTGGTGCCAGGTTTAAGGATGATCTTGTTTGGTTTACTTGTACCATCACTTTTGCTGTTACTCTGGTTGAATTTCAAGCCAAATGAGATTTTGTCCCTGAAAAAGAATAACATTTCTAATTAATTTTAATTAATTAACTTATTAATTTAGTTTCAATTTTTCATTTCTCCAGGATAAATAGTATATGATTGCCAAGCTTAACAACTTAACAGAGAAAGCAAAATATCTGTGTCTCTCTAACTTATTACCTTTCTTTGTGTGTTGGCAATGGGGGCTTGTTGGGAGCCTGGTGCCCATTCTTGGTGATGGCCTCCCCCAAACTGTCAGTGACACGACCATATCCATTAGTCACTGAAGAGGCACTGTGGCTTGTGGGAAGAGGCTTGGGTATTCCGTCAGAGTTTTGACGTATGAGTGCCTTTTCAGAGCTCTGGCGGACGACCTGCTTTATTCCAACTTGATCTTTTGGTTTGCGCACCATTTCATAGAAGAGAATATATGGATTTCGGAGGAGAGCACTCTGAACAGATATGGACCGTACCTGGAAATAGAATGAAAGTCTTCAAACTGTCTACATATGATTTTTTGCAAGTGACAGACAGATTACACAGGACACAATGCTAATTCAGTAAGACTTACTGACGAGTCGTCAAATTCAAACATTGTACCACTAGACGACTCAGCAACTGCCGTGTAATGACCCCCATGCTGAGATCCTCCAATGTGTATAACCATAGAAGTCAAGCGGTATTGGTACGGCCCACTACCAGCTCCCCCTTGTTTCTGAACACCATTCACAAACCGAGAAATATCTATGGTTTTTTGGATATTTATGTGTTTGCTTATCTTACCACCCGAATAGGTGAATCTGACAAAGAAGAAAAAATAAAAGTTAAATTAGTAATTACTGGTTTCTATAAAATAAGATACATGTACAAGAAAAACTGTGTCACTCTTATAATTGCATGGAGTAAAAAAATAATCCTATTGCTATGATGCCCAACAAGGACACTTTGTAACTTATAATTAATTAAAGCTTTCTACTAGGCAATATTCATGCAGTTTCTGCTAATAGTATCTTTTTTTTTTTCTTTTTTTTTTTTCTTTTTTTGCAGAAGATTGCTGCACTCTTTCCTGTTATGGAGAGTACTAATACTATAATGCTAACCTAAAACTAAACTAATAGTCTGCTTCACCTCTTCAGTTGTATTAAAAGAACATGTGGTGCTCGCTCTATGAGATGCCTTTTCGTCGCTGGGACCTTCTTGTGACAACGTTCACACTTGTAAGCATTGTCTGCATCCAAAGTTTCTTTCCTGAAGTGGAGGTTGAGTGCTTCATCTACACTGTTAACTGATCGAATATCCAGCACCAAGTCTTGGAAATGAGAGAAGGTTGTGGAGACATGTCGACACAATGGGCAGATGACTGGAAAATCAGAAAACAATTTTAAATTCTTGATATTAGTCACGCATGATATGATGAAATTTTCAGAGTAATTGAAATGACATATTCTTACTCTGAAAATTTCACATTTCTGGTAAAGGTAAATCAAGTCGATGTTCAAAGTAAACCACACCTATACCTTCAAGTAAAGTTAACAAAGTCACTTACAAACCTGATTTTTATCATTGTAAATATACCTCAGACTCACATGCACAGCATGCAGAAGTCCTGTGTACACAGTGCACAAAACTTACCTTGCTGTCGGAGATACCCGCCAAAAATCTGGTTGAGAGGGGTAGTTTCCTTAGACCGATGATCCAGCTTAGTAGCACGTCTAAATGAAAGGTACGATTTCTCCATATGATCTAATAACAACTTAATAAATTCATGAGCATCTTCCTGACGACCATACATCAATGTTTTGCCAATGCCTGTGTAGGAAAAGAACATATAAATTAATAAATATAATAATGACAGCAGCTATTTTCCAAGTAAGTTAAATATCATATGATCTACACAAAAGAATTCCATTTTTGCAACTTACTTTTCAGTTTGTGGTGAATAAGAGAAGGTTTAATAACATTATTTGACCGGTCAAGTGTTTGCCGCAAGGTTCTCATCATAGCACAAACAGAACAATATGAAGCATTTGAAGAATTGGCCTCGCATCGTTGAGTGTGGTTTGAAAGATCTTCAAGTAGCCAGTTTGCCATTGCAGGGATATGGAACAGTGCCTTTAAAAGAAACAGAAAACAGATGTAAAAGGAACAAATTACCATCTCACTAAAGTCAATGTACAAATTATTTTTCCAATCAAAACATCTACACACAATTTCTCCTGATACAATAATGACATAAAATGTAGATCTTAAAAAATGTAGATCTAAGACAAACATATCAAAAGAAATGTGAATCAGACAAAAAAACTCAAGACTACATGGAAAGCAAGAAGGGTGCACTTATACACCATGACAGCCTGTATCACAACATACAAAGCCAGAAAAAGAAATTCACAAAGCTTAAAACATTCCAATTCTTTATATATATAAAAGAGTAGGTCAGCTAATGCCGATTAACAACTAAAATAATAAAATCAAATAAATAATAAAACATACTGCAATCATACATAAACTGTGAACAAAAATGTATCGATAAAATGTAATTTAGCATGCCTAGCCATTCATAAGTATGATTAGTCATAAAAGGACTGATCATAAAAAATACCTACCTATTCTTTAAACCTTGTCATTCAAAAACAAACATACACATACAGCCTAGCCAAAACTAGCACTACTTCTATTTCTTTCATATACTTTAAAAGTTTCTTACAGGGCAAGTGCATGAACATATCAAAGTATGGGGAGGGTATCTTACCCCTCATCCTTCAGTCACTACCTAACAAGTTTTTTGCAGGGTCTATGGTATGCCAATGAATTTTAAGAGCCAAGATTTCAAAGGCTTTTACAATACTGTTTAGTATAGTGCACCTAAAGTAATGCAACACTTAAAATGCACATAATCGATAGGTATACAAAGGAACCTTTCAAACTCCAATACCCATTTTTTAACCTAACAATGACAGGCATCTAACAAATCAGATGGCCAGAAAATGGCACCCAATATGCAAGACACTAGCAAGACACAATTCAAATGGGTTGGAAACCATGTGTCATGCAGGTCCTTGCCAGCACTCACTGTTATGGGTACCACCCAGAAATTAAGGTGTTATTTTCACTCAGAAGTATCCCCATTGTGGATGGATTAATGGTTAGGTCCACTAAGGCTTCAAAAATTGAGCAACATTAAATTCTTTAAATATATTTGACATTCCCAATAAATGTTCTAACCCAGATTTTATTAAATATATATAAAATTAATTAAATTGAGGTTTGTTTCTTCATGATATGTATTGTACATAGTTTTAGATCTCTCTGTTCATATACACATATGCATATACATTCCTACAGACATATATAAAAAATATATATGTGTTATCAAACTTATGCCTTGCCACAAGTACCTATACATAAATTTGCATGAGATTATACATGTACCAGAGGAAATGCATGTGTATATACATATGTATACCAGTATAGACATACTTATATATTTATACTTATAGAGATATAAACACATTACCACCTAACTATATATAACCATATCCCTTTTTTAAATGAAGCCAGGTATTTTCATGAACTAACTGAATTTTAGACTTGAAAAGCTGAATATGAAGAAAATGGTATTTTCTCATACATGACAGAAAATACTTTCAAAGGAGGCAATGCAGACTTCCAGAAGCACTCGTTAACACTCATACAACAGGGGATGCTAAAAAAGAATATTTATACACAGAAAAGTCCAATAAGTTGAAAATCATGTTTTACCAGAAACGAATACAAGAAACATAAAAGCATGATATTGTATCTCAAAACATACTTACCATAAAACAACCCATACTTTACTCCTTGTCTAGTACCCACAAACCTTCACCGCACTCACACATTCCTCTACGGACTCGTTCCACATCCCTCTCACCTGTAGTGAGGAGTTCATGTAGCAGGTGTTGCCCAAATTAACCATGCCTGCACCAGGGGGAAAGGTCTTCCTCCATCCCAGCGTGACCTTGTCTCTTGACCACAGCACAAACTTAGGGTCGTCTAGCTGGTCCTCCTTCACCGCAGAGGACTGCTTGTGGTGCTGGGCATGGGCCATGCTACCTGGTGGAGAGTCGGGAGTGGTGGTGGCGCTGGCTGTCAGGTTCACATATTTGGTCTTGAGTGAGGTTAGCACCATAGACTGCTGGGTGCCCACACGGTCATACTCAACATGGTTCAGCAGTACCTACATGGTAAATATAAACCAGTGCAATATAAAGCCAACATATATTACATTCACAAACATCTGTACTTGATCTGGAGAAGTTGGCCATTGCTGATGCTGCTTCTTCCACAAATTATGGGTGGCTCTATTTTTTTGTAATGCCAAGCAAATCATTATTTAGAAAATTAATTAAGGAGACTTAATGACAGTGCATTAATAAGCAATATAATTAAAAGAAGGCAAATTGAACAGTAAAACAAAAACCAACTTCAGTGCATTAAAATAATCCAATATTATAAAAAAATATATAATGAAGCTCTAAATTAAAGTGAACTTTTGATTAACAAACTGTAATACTCTCTATGTTTAAACATAATAGAAAAATTTGCTTAAAATAAATGAAAGATTAATGTTATAAAAATAACCATACTAAAAAAAATAATAAAACATATGGTAAATAATAACCTTGCTTTGCATAAGACTGAAGACTTCACTCATAACAGACCAATTTTTTTTCTTCTTTTCATTATCATCTTAGAAAATCTTCTGTTAAAATAATAAAACTATTTCATAGTGTGAGAGATTTCCTTCTTTCATTTTCCTTCAAAATATACCCTCCTGAATTAACAAAAAAATAATGGAACCTTTTCTTCTGTGCCTGAATTTTCGAACTACATTGAAAATAATCCTAAAAGAAAATTACGTAAGTTTTCTCATGATACAATTGCTCCATCTTTTCATATACAAGACAATTAAAAAAATATATATACATACAAATAGGAGACTGACTTTTATCAAATAGTAAATTACAGGATCTTTAAAGCATTGTTTAATACTTATTTTCATAACTTGCTGATATCTAGATCACAGTAACTAAGCTTATAAGAGTGATATTGCCAAGCTTAATCGCTTGTCACCTTGAAATTATTTCCTGTAAAACCCATTTTTAATTATGCTTAAACAAACTAAGCAGTAATTATCTAGGGTGCTGGCCAATAGGAAATTTTATGCAACAATGCTAATCCATGAAGTGATTCCTGGGCTAGTCCTGAATGACCTGTACAACACTCTTACCTGTTTACTAGAGGCGACCAGCTGATCCTCTATATGGTTTTTCTTGTGAAGTGAGGACGGGGCTGTGTCCGCAGGTTTGTGTTGGAAAGCAGACTGCAGCGCCGCCCCTATCACCTCAGCTGATGATGCAGGCATTACACGCTGTACATTCCCACCTGAAAACAAAAACCAAAACATTTATTGTTGTGCTGTAAAATAAAGAAACAGCACAAACCCATCCAAACTATTGCTTACCAGTTATCCATTTTGATTTCCACAACTTTGTAAATACCACAAAACACAATATGAGATAATACACTAGCATCATTGTGGAATCACAGAATTCAAGATTTCTTCATGACTTGCATCCAAATTTACAACATTTAAAAATAAATGATCTTCATATCTTATCACATGCTGATGACATAAAATCATATATACAGCTCAGATTAGATATTGATAACATGAACAAATGAAGGCTGATGCAAAGATTGAAACACTGAGAGGTCATTCATCCAACAACTGAATATTATTACTTCTGAAATAAACTGCTCCCACAAATGAGTCCAAATTCTGAAATGAGAATCTGACTACCATAGTAAGAAGTCTAACTAAGAAAAGGAGAATATATGGCATCAATATAGTAAAAATTAAAGAAAAAATATAAACATATTTTGTGGCTAAACTCAGCAGGATTGTAAGAAATAAAACTAAGTAAAACATTCATATTAACTCGAGTAGCTAACAGACTAATGCAACGCATTTAAATTGTACAATATATATACAGTCTCAGACAATGACACTGTACAAGGTAAACATCCCACAGAATATATTAATGAATCTTAAGACTGATTATCAGTGACACATTAAATAGTATTTCCCTAAAAAAATAAAACAGATATGTGCAAGAGATGATTCAAAAGAGGAAAGAGAGGTTTAGTATTTTATGACTGGTGTAACCCCAGGGCCAATGCAAAAACTTGTGCTGCATATATTTTGGCATGAGAATTCCTGAACCATCAACCTGATTTATCATAAAATAAGTAACCAATACCAGGTCTACCTAGTTAAAATGGATGTGATAAAAGTTTTTAGGACTTTGCAGGACCCACAACAAGATACACAAAATGCAACCATTTTTTGGCACCATGCCCTCTAACTGTTAACATTCATGGGACCTAAACATAACCTTTTATAGGTTGTGTGGGAAAAGCAAACTCATACAGGTCTTTCACAACCGTAAACTTGGGTTACTTTGGCCCTTGGGGGTGACTTCGGCCCCAGACACAGAATTTGTTTTACGTCTCAAAGGGGCAGTATTCAAAAGCCTGAATGTTCCTTGCAGTGTACCAATGTTTTATAATGGGCTTTTCCTCATAAAATTAATAAGCAGAAGAACAAAGATCAGTGTTATAAAAAATTCTCAGCATTTTTATGTAGCTACATGTAAAGATGCTGAGAATTTTTTATAACACTGATTTTTGTTCTTCTGCTTATTAATTTTATGAGGAAAAGCCCATTATAAAACATTGGTACACTGCAAGGAACATGCAGGCTTTTGAATACTACCCCTTTGAGCCATAAAACAAATTCTGTGTCTGGGGCCACAAGTCACCCCTAAGGGCCAAAGTAACCCCAGTTTACGGTACATAATCTTAAGTCAATACATTTTTCAGACCCAATCTCTCTCCAAGTAAACAATGTCAAAATTAGTCTCATATCCAAGTGGACACAGGACATGTTCGTAGAGGAACATGCTCGAAGGAATGATATGTTAGGATAAGCAGTTACTTTCTACCCAGACTTTGACCCAAGCATGCTGATGTCAGCTTAGCACTCACTCACAGCCAAGTCAGCTGAAAGGGGCAACTAGGCATGAACCCACAACCTTGCAATTGCAGAGCCAGCATTCTACCACTGACCTATGCCACCATCAACAAAACAATAAAAGATTTCCTGAAAAAAGTACTACTATATTTGGTTTGTGCAAATCAGATATCTATTTTATTAGGGCTAACAGTAATTTTTTTAGTTCACACATCCAACTTTGCAATTATGATTTCTTGTTTTAATCATTCAGAGTGTAATATGCGTGATCAGTTATTTTCCATCATAAATCATGTAAGTGGAAGTATTGGTCCACAAACATTGCAATACAATCAAAAAACCTTTCTAACCAGGGGCTTAGACCTCAGACCACCACCCCATTGCTGTATTTACCTATCGGGTGCTCTGCCCCTGGACCCCTACCCTATCGCTGTGGATTTACTCTCAGCACAGTATTTGTCACAACCTATTTTCTTCATTTCTGACATTATTCTTTGCCTGCGCAGATGATTTAATGTATAAGTGAGTGCAGTTTTCCCTTTCCTTTATGACAGCGCCATCAGATTTTCATTACCTTAGTGTGGTCGTTATGTAATTGTATACCAATGCATGTTGATTAACTTTCTTAACCCCTTGGTGCAGGGTGACGCCGATAGGCGTGTAAACAAACCGCTCGAAAGCTGGCGTGCAGCCAAACGAGCCGGGGGCGCACCAAAGTGTGGCGAGCCAGTGATTCGGGCTGACGTCCCGTACTCGCGCGCTCAAAGTCGGGGGGCCGCCTTTGTTTGCTAGAGCGTAGAGTTTTTTTTTTTCTTTTGTACACAAGGCGTCATTGGGTTAAGAGTCGACTAGCTAAAGAAATGCCACAGATGAAAAGTGTCTTTTTTTTGTTACTCTGTCCATTACGAGCAAGATTTAGATTGTACCACATACCTGTGTGAAACTGAAACAATACACATGTTCCTTGAATTATTACTATGACAAGTTACTATTACTTTAAAATAACCTTGAATTGAATTGCAATGCAGAGCACTCATGAATACATTGCAAGTTGGCATTCTACAAAAATGTGACAATTTCACCCTAATTTGATACCAAAGTCAAGACAACAACCTTGAAATAATAGAAAAAAAACAATAATTACTTCAAAATCCTACAAGCCATTTGAGGTTAACAACCCTCACACTACTTCAACCCTCACCAACTCCCTTTTTTTTCCTCTGTTCCACCTCAGTGTCAAGCCAACCCCAAGTACAACCCCAAAGTACGAGAAAACCGACTTAAAAGTAACTTAAAATACCAAAACCCACGTGAGGTTACTGGAAGCACTCCACACCACCTAGACCCCCACCAATTCCACTTGGTAGAAACCCAATACCCGACGTCCCTCATACTCTGCCCTCCCCCCAAATCTCGCTGGAAACTAATGAAGCCCCAGACCCTTACCCTCGAGCCGAACACCAACACCTGCTGCCAAAACGTGGGTCAAGACTCGGCCCTTGACAGAATCCATGTTGTATAGCCATTAACTCCATATATCCCACCCTCTCGACTCCTCTTTCGTTCCTTTCTTCACCTCTTTCGTCCACTCACCATCAAGAATAGACCCCGGCCGAAGGAAAAAGTACCCCGGAGACGAAATTCGAGACAAAAAAGGGCAATCTTCCTCGTTAATTCCGGCAGCGCAGAGGGAGAGTAAACACACGGGCGGCGCGTTGGTGTTTCGGCGAGGCGGAGTCTGGCGTCTATAGTTTAAATGTCCTATTGCGGGTATATATTTTTTTTCTTCTATGCTTTGATATAGAGGATTGTTTATTGTTTAGGTCTGAGAGGACGTATCAGTTTGTTGTTTTTTAAGAATGTTGATTGATATTACTAGTTATTTTCCGGCCATTGTAGGCATCTAAATCCTCTAAGGGGTTAACTTTCCCTGCTTTTCTCTATGCTTTGATAGGAGGATTGTTTATTTTTTTTAGGTCTGAGAGTACGCATTAGTTTCTTGTTTTTTAAGAAAGTAGATTGATATTACTAGTTATTTTCCGGCCGCTTTAGGCATCTAAATCCCTAAGGGGTTAACTTTCCCTGCTCGATGTAAGGCCGTGAGAGAACCCCACGACGAGCCATATGTGATTCTGACCTTTCGAGAAACATCATTACTAATCGATTTCATGCGGTTATATATTGAAATTAGAGATCCGTTTCCTCGTAAATTTAATTCGTAATCTAATAAAAAAAAAAGAAACAATAGACGCCATGAACTAATTTTCTCGAGCATGCTATTTTTACATGCAATATGATGAGACTCGCAGTTTAGGATCCGATCTTCCAGAATGGTCTGCTTGATGGTACTAGATCCCTCGACGAACTTCCCTCCGAAAAAAAAGATATTTACAAACCAACTTACAAATAGAATAATACAGAAAACCATACTTTATTATCTTCTTAACCTATTTTAACGAATGGCAGTGATGCAAATAAGACCGGATTTTTTTCAGAATAGGAGCAACACCAACAACCTTGAATAATTGCGCCCTTAAAAAAATCCAAAATTCTGAAAATTCCAATTCGAACGCTCGAAGACCTTCATCCTCATGACAATTAATAGAATATTGCAAATGGATACAACTTTCCACGGAATTCGTCTGCTAATTCCTTGCTAAAAAAATCAGAGAAATAAAAAAAAAAAAACATGGATAAAGCATATTGCTTTATCCTTTATCACCGAAACAACAGTTTATTGCATTCTTTTTATAATCAAACAATTATTAGGCATCCTTTGACTGAAGCTTATCAGGCAGAAAAGTCGGGAATTCCGGTTTAACGCCAAATAATAGAAAAAAGAGACGATAAAATGCGTTTCTATTATCGCATTCTTATCAGTATAAAAACAATGATGTATATAGCATAGACAGTATTTATTAATGTTCTTCAATGTGGAATGTCGTGTATTGAAATAATGCAATCAACATTTTCCTAGTTTTGAATATTATTATTATACAATTGAAACGACGCATTTGTTGTTGTTAAAGATTATCTCTGTAATATTATTTCAACTCAGAACACCACAAGAGAATTACACTTGCAAATTATTAAGAGAAAACAAGTCGGAATTGAACGCACGTCAGCCTTCACGACTCGACCCCGTTAGAGCGAACAAACAGCGAGCCCCTTCCTCCTTGGCCGCTCGACCCCGTTAGAGCGAACAAACAGCGAGCCCCTTCCCCCTCGGCCGCAGTGCCATGGCGACCTTCGGGAGAGTCTCGCGCTGGCTGGTCGGCTCCTCAGTTCCCGTCAGACTGGGGTGGAATCCTGCCACTTCTATCGAAAGGTCAGTGGGATTCAGAAAGAAGGACACCTCCACTTTAAAAATCACCAAAGAAAAAATATATACATACATATATTCTCCGGTTGCAGGGCTTCTGGGTTTTGGTAACGGGGGAGGAAAAAAGAGGAAGAGACTGGAATTGATTATGCGATATCAGTGTTATGATTTTATTAATCAAGGTCACTGCGGTTATGAAAGTCTGTTTCATTTTCTAATAAGATTATTATGAAGCATTTGCAAAGTTTCATAAGTTTTTGGAATTCATGATGATTTTTTTTCCCCGTTTCCACCATACTACTATGACTTTATTTGTTTAATACTGTATATGTATATATTTCTGCATATGGTAATTGTCCATAATAAGATTGTAGGGATGCAGAAAAAAATAATACTACATTCATTTAAGGTAACCTAAGTGTTACTAAGCGATTGCAGTGACTGAAAGCTACAAATGCCACCAGATATTAAACAAGGATACGGGAACGAGCATTTAGTCAGACACAGGGACAGGCTAACCAACATCCAATATAGTTTTTTAAAGCACCAGAGTGATGTACTGTCAACTAAGGAACCAGTCCAACCTGCCTTGCCAAAATTTACATAGTGGTAGTGTGTTGGCCTTTTCTAGAACAGGTGTAGTGGTCACATGTTGCTTCATCAGTCCTATTTAGATTTTTTTTTTTTTTTTTTTGGGGGGGGGATGTTAATTGTTCAAAATGTTATTGTCTTTTAAAAGTCACATGATTGTAGTTGTTATTCTTATTTTATATGATTGGATATAAGTCAAGTATGGTAATGGTTTGAAATAATTTTTGATGATACCATTATGCTGTACCATTAGTTTTCTGAATCATTAATAAATTTTGTTGATATCTTGGCATAATGTGGTTGAACCTGCTCTTAAGTTGTGCAGGCTAAACAGTTTTGTACTTGTTTGGTCTTGACTGCATTTGTTGAGGAGAAATAGCACCTCAAAGTTAACTTTAAGCCTTTTTTTAGCCTCACTACTTAAAAAGTTTTTTTATGCCCAGGCCAAGAGCTTAGAAGTGATTTTATGTTTCCTGTACTTTGTTTTTTTCCCTGGAACAGTTGATTTTGCATGCATCCAGATATTGCAGTGAGAGCTCTTGTTGTAATTAGGTTAAGATTTTTCCTTTAATTCTTGGATATATCAATCCATGGAAACAGCAGAAACAGGTAGACCATAATAATGTAGCCAAAAAAATGATTGTTGAAATACACTTTTGAATTGCACTTTCTGTGCAAGTAGAGTAGATGATGTGTGTATCAGCATTAAGAAAAACAAAAATGTAAGCTCATTCATTGTGTGAATGATTACGAGTGACCATTAAATTCTTCACTCACAACAGTAATTGGTTAAGGAGTTAGTTAATTCTAGAATAATCCCCATTTTCAGTTAAAATATGACTAGAAATAGTACCTTTTATAGTTTATATTTTGGCTTCCTTAGGAAATAAGATACTTCATTTGTTATATTATGAAAGGAATCAGTATTTTTTTCACTTCTTTCCAGACTTCACCATTCTGTGGGTTATACAGCATCAAAAGCAAATAAGTATGTATTATGGCAAAGTTTGCCTCAGGCAGTGAGGAATGATAATAGCTTCTGCACAGAAGGAAGTCTAACACAGCCGGAGATAAAGCGAGCAGTTGACAACATATCTGAGAAATTCACCGAAGCCATGGAACTTATGAATGACGCGGTTAGTAGTTAACAGAAATTTTAATTCTTAAGCAATTAATGTATTTGTAATTTTTATATTTTTGCTCTATGTTTTCTTTTAGTGTTCAAGAAGTAGTCTAAAGCCCATAAACACTTTGAAGCAGTACTGTCACTGGGTAAATTATATTGGGTATGCCAGTGAGACTTGCCTCTTTGGCAAGTTCAAGTGGGTGACCAGACATGACTGGCAGTAGCAGTGCTACAAGTTAATGGTTTTTGTTTGGTAATTTCATCCAGCTGCTGGTAAGGACATTCCGTTGAAGTGCTTGTCAGACTTTGATGATGGGATTTATCACTCCAGGCTGCAGAGCATACCTAGTCCAGTGATTACAGCTTAATTGTAAAAGATTTCTTAATATATGTGAAGATTTCCTTAAGGTTTTAGTCCTGCTTTGTATAAGGCATTATCTTCTCATCCAAAAGATGCTTTAATATTTTTATATATCAGTTGCTAGACATTTTTTTTCAAGTTCTATTATAGCTGAATTGATAACCAGAATGTAGGTCCAGTGTAGAGCTTTGATGCATTTTGATTAAAATTAAGATTTAAGGAAATTATTGCCATAGCTTGTAAACAATTTGTTATTATTCTTCATATACAGAGATCATCAGCAGGGACTGTATATTTCTCAGAAGATATGGAAGATACCACAGCACAAGTACAGGAAACCCTTCAAGATTATCATGCACTACTAGAAAGACTAACAGAAAAACAGAAAAAACAGGTCATACAGTCAATAGGTAAGAAACTATAACATTGATTTTTCCCAACAGTTGATCATTAAAAACACACACTCTCACACTCTCTCTCTCTCTCTCTCATGTAAGTGAGTGAGAGAGAGAGAGAGAGAGTGAGTGTGAGTGAGTGAGAGTGAGTGAGTGAGAGTGAGTGAGTGAGAGTGAGTGAGAGTGAGTGAGTGAGAGTGAGTGAGTGAGAGTGAGTGAGTGAGAGTGAGTGAGAGTGAGTGAGTGAGAGTGAGTGAGAGAGAGAGAGAGTGAGAGTGAGTGAGAGTGAGTGAGTGTGAGTGAGTGAGTGTGAGTGAGTGAGTGTGAGTGAGTGAGTGTGAGTGAGTGAGTGTGAGTGAGTGAGTGTGAGTGAGTGAGTGTGAGTGAGTGAGTGAGTGAGTGTGAGTGAGTGAGTGTGAGTGAGTGAGTGAGAGTGAGTGAGAGTGAGTGAGAGAGAGAGAAAGAGAGAGAGAGTGAGTGAGTGAGAGTGAGAGTGAGAGTGAGTGAGAGAGAGAGTGAGAGAGAGAGTGAGAGAGAGAGTGAGAGAGAGAGTGAGAGAGAGAGTGAGAGAGAGAGTGAGAGAGAGAGTGAGAGAGAGAGTGAGAGAGAGAGTGAGAGAGAGAGTGAGAGAGAGAGTGAGAGAGAGAGTGAGAGAGAGAGTGAGAGAGAGAGTGAGAGAGAGAGTGAGAGAGAGAGTGAGAGAGAGAGTGAGAGAGAGAGTGAGAGAGAGAGTGAGAGAGAGAGTGAGAGAGAGAGTGAGAGAGAGAGTGAGAGAGAGAGTGAGAGAGAGAGTGAGAGAGAGAGTGAGAGAGAGAGAGAGAGTGAGAGAGTGAGAGAGTGAGAGAGTGAGAGTGAGAGTGAGAGAGAGAGAGAGAGAGAGAGAGAGAGAGAGAGAGAGAGAGAGAGAGAGAGAGAGTGAGTGAGTGAGTGAGTGAGTGAGTGAGTGAGTGAGTGAGTGAGTGAGTGAGTGAGTGAGTGAGTGAGTGAGTGAGTGAGTGAGTGAGAGAAAGAAAGAAAGAAAGAAAGTGTGAGTGAGTATGCATGTGCATCTAATTTATATATTATCTTTGTTTTTCTCTTTAATTTATTTATTTCCCTCTGTATTTCTCTTAGGATCCATGCCTAAATGGGGTTGAAAATCTTGATTAATATATATTTTTTTTCTTTCTTAAAGGAAAACATGAAAGCAGGATTTGTACAGCTATTTTTATCTTTACTAAAAAAAGAGAACTTTACTGAGTTTTAACAATGATTAATGATTACAAAGCAAAATAAAGGTGTTAGACATCAAAGGTCATATTGCACTACAGAAAGTTGTATTAGTGAAAAGAGTAAAGAGGGGTGTTAGTTGATTAAGTGTGCTATATGTCAAAAGTCACGTAGCAGTTCAGGATAGTATGGTACTGAGAGGGGGAAAAAGGGGTGAGAGTAGGAAGGGTAAGAGCTTTAATTACCAAACCATAATTAGTAGCAAGGTCTGTTAATAAATTTTGATAGATATCCATTACATGCATTTTGAAATTTATTATGACTAAGTTTTCTTGTCTTTATCATCTTCAAGAAGTTTACTGCATTTATTCTCCACTTACTTACAGTATTGTTGTATTTACACATTCCTTATGATTCTCAAGACTTTAATTCATAGGTCTTATGTTTATATCTTTTATGACTGCTATATTAATATTATGCATTTCCTTTTTAGGTCTTAAAATGGAAGAGCTCAAGGCACAGATGTCATTACTGCAAGACCTAGCCAGAGAATAAAAAACTCAAAAATATGCCTTTGCAGTTTGTTATATATGTTAAGGGCACATAAGGGTACAGAATGAAAACACATCACTAGTGCTTTCCTCTCTCATTATTATTGTTGTTCTTGTTTATTATTTGTTTTATCATTTTATTGAAAAAAAACTGTCCATGTTCTCTTGTAGAGATATATACATACTTATATTTCAAGGAAACTGTAAAATGGTCAAATATAGACCTGTTTTTCTAAGTTGTGTATCTGTTAACTCCTACTGGTATATTTAAAAGAAACTTACACAGGGTATCCTCACATTTACTATGTTTCAGCTTGAATTTGAGCAATGAACTTCAATTTTGTCACTAAATTCAGATATTTAGCATCATATCTTCACATCAAACACTTAGTAATAGTAGTAGCACCATCAACAACTTTCCATACAAGCTAACATTCAAAAAGCTTTTTTTATTTTTTTCCATAATGTTGGATATGTCATTATCACCACAGTAGCATTTACAAGAATATAAAATGTTAAAGTGGTTGTTAATGAGAAGGGATATTAAATAAAAAGAGAAAATAATTATAATATAATATAAAATCTACATATTTTTAGTGGATGTAAAATAACATAAATGTTCAAAATATTTATTTAGGAACCAATAACCATACAGCAATGTTAATCAAAAATATGGAACATTGATCTGACTAGAAAAAAAATAGAATTATACACTGCAAAACAGTGATCAAGAAAATAAACCAACACTTCAGGAACATTTCATTAGTACTTATTTAAATGAAGTTTTCTTAGAAATTACAATTCCTATTAGGTGAAATATAACAAAGAGAATAAGAAAAAATAGAATTCAAATAGCAATATTGGTCCCACAAGGTTTGTCCCCGACATTAAAAAACATGTTTACAAAACTACTTGTCTTTATAAAAGGTTTGTGACAAATATTTAGCCAAGATCATTTCAGTAATTCAACTGTACTATAAAGGTTCACCATCACCACAAAAACAGCAAATAATCTTTAAAAAAAAAATATTTCAATCTTTTCATACAGTTTAATTTCACAGCCATAGTATATGCAGACGATTTTTTAACCTGTCTACTTTATGCAAATTTATAATTTAATTATAAATAGTATGCAACCTTTAGTTTAGTATTAGATTTATCTTTAAAACATAGTTAAAATATAGTTGACTACTTGACAATTTATCAGGTCCCCAATACACAAATACATACAGTATATGTTTATCTAAACAAATGTTCTTCTGTCTCCTGATACTTTATCCATTATTCCTAAAAGTACACAATCTTAAGTTTTCCAGAGCCAGTTCTATTATAGATATGAACTGTCAGTCATGATAAAACCTGTAATAAGTTACAATAAATAACTCAGCACTATCCTACATTGAATATAGAAAGAGCATTTCCATATAGTTTATATGTATACACTTTCAAGAAAAGATTCAACCTGACTTACATTAGATTTGTATTACCATGGTTATAAGAAAAATGAAATATCTGTCCAAAGTCACAATACCCTTGAATGATACAAAAAGGTCAAAGTAAGCCAGATCATAAATACAAAAAATAATTAAATTGTTTTCACATACATGCTATTAAGAAATTTTGTATGATACTGAACATGAACCTAAATCTAGATTTCTTTTAATGAATAAAGAAATGGCAAAGAGGACACATCAAGTTGGCAAATTTAATTGTCCTTTCTATGGAATGTGTGGTCTTATATTTATGAAAGTAGACATTAATGCATCTTAGGAGAGTCTGCATTTAAAATGCTATGGGGTATAAACTAATTAAACCTTTACCATATCCCATTTCTTTTCAATACGAAGATTATGGACTGAGGAAAGTTGATATAAAAACGCTGCTGTCAATGTTGAGAGTTGCATGCCACCACTTGTCAGGAAAATAAATAATCTGAAAATAAATCACTTGTTATTTATGTCAATATCTTTTCTACATGTCTATTTTGACATTCTAATTTTGTTTTTATTTTATCAATTACAAAATACATACAATGGTCATTGAAAAAGTTTGTAGAAAACCATCATATAATTCTTGTGAAAATTTGGTGGAAGAAAAGGGTGATGTTACAATATTACACTACTGTTAACCCATTCCCGCCGGGCATGCCATGCCATGCCCACTGTGAGATTAATTGTTAGATTGCTTTCACACATAGATGGCTACACTTGTACTAAATCACCAATGAGCCAGTTATGAGTACCGCCTGTCTCGCCCGTTCATCCTTTTCTTTGATTTACAAAATATTTTGCTGTTACTAATGTCAAAAAACATTATAAAAATTATGATGTTTATGATAAAAATAACACCATCGATTTTTCATAGCACTAGTGAAAAATACGTTTTTCCCGCCATTTCAAACCAGACGCTAACAGAGCCATCTATTGGCAGACATTTAACAAAAAAGTATAGAAAATAGGCACAGCATGTTCCCCATTTTTTGTTCATTTTCCCTGGCGGCAATGGGTTAACAAACCTGTTCATTTTCCATCCAGGTAGGGAAAAATTAAAGATGACTGTTGCAGAGAGAGAGACATAAACATCATTCAGCAATAGAAGCACTGAGGCAGTTCAGACACTGCTTAAGGAAGGCATTCAAAATATGACTGGGCAGACAGCAAAAATATTGAACATTTCAGTTGGAGCAGTGCACAGCATCCTGACCCAATGCCTCTGGGGATATCTGGGGTTCACTGTGCCTCCTTTACAAAGGTCTATTTCAGAAGCAGCTAGTGTGTCACACCATACCAACAAAGTGATACTTCTTTTTGGTATTACTTGCATTCAAAACACGATTTTAACATTCTGCATATTCAGAGATGCAAGATATTCATTTTAATTGTAGTAGCCTCATTTTGTACATCAGAGTCCATTTCAGTAAATTAGGTGCATTACACTGTACAAGGTGGAATGTGGTTTTACCAAGGGATTTTCTCCCATTTTTGCAAATCTTATTATTATAAAATAAGAAATATAAGGCTGCTGCTCCCATGGCATCAGTACCTCCTTTTGGTGTCATAATTCAAGACAGGTTACACTGGCAGAGAGCCATATGACAATCTGAGTAATTGACATGAAGAGACTGATCATGTAAACTAGAGTGAAGATTACAGTTGACATCAGCAGCAACAGATTGCAATGTTTTAATACTTGGCATCTTCCAGGCACAGCAGGCAAATTATTTATATGCTAAACATTGACCTTTATACAAGACAATAGTCAATTATAGCATTATACATCCCATTCTCTTTCAGTTAGCCAAGACATGAGAGACCAGACACCCAGAGTCAAGATCAAGTGAGTCATGATGTAAACCCAATGTCATTCAAAGACTCAGGGTTAATCCTCTGGCGATTGGTGAAGTACCATAATGTCCAGGCAAATATTCACAGACACTGGGTGATATCTCTTATTAGCATGGAGCAGTGTGCACAAACAATTTTTTATTTATTGTTACAAGGTTAACTGGAAATGGAAAGTGAAACTCTGCAAGTTTTCTCCGTGGTGAATTTAAAACATGAAGGTGTGGAGAGCCAATCTGCCAGTGCAAATTTTGAACCAGTGAGACAGCAAGAAATGTCTTGAAAGTTTTGTGACTGCTAGGGAAATACAGACCCCCAATTTCATTCTAAAACCAAATGGCAATCTAGAGTGGCATTCATAAGTTGCAGATGGATTAATCACAAGCAATGCAGAAATATTTTGTGCTAAGTAGAGATAATAAGCAAAGGTTATGCTAACAGTTTTTTTTTTTTATGATAGACAAGGCATGTTATTTATAGACTTTCTATTTATTATATTTTTTTATAATATCACAGCAAAGAAATGACTACAAATCTTCCTAACCTAATGCTGTTTCATCATAACAATACACCAGCCCATTTTTGATTGGAATTTGGATTGGAATGCAGAAATCATCCCTCATACTGCCCTGTTTCTTTCCCTCTTCCTCCAAACATGAAAAAAACACTTCAAAAGCATATATTTTGCAATTATTAGTGATACTATGGATATTAAAGAAAGGAGACCCTGCCTTTTGTTTTGATTTGAATTCTTTATATCAGGGGTTCCTAACCTGGAGGCCACAGGACCCCCAGGTTGTCCCTATAGCTACTGACACCATTACACTATTCATAACTAGTAGTATCTGAATTTGAAAAGATGACAGTCACTGAATAGGGCCATGGAGATCATTATATATTAGTCAGGGACCATAGAATGAAAAAGGTTGGGAACCACTGCTCTATATCCCAATGGCGCCGGGTGTACAAAAGAAAAAAAAAACTCTACGCTTAAACAAACAAAGGCGGTGTGCCGACTTTGAGCGCGTGAGTAGGGGACATCAGCCCGAATCACTGGTTCGCCGCGCTTTGGCGCGCCGCCGGCTCGTTCGGCTGCACGCCAGCTTTCGAGCTCTTTGTGTACACGCCGATCGGCGTCACCCGGCACCAAGGGGATATATTAGATAATTTCTTATAAGTATTTTCTGTTTCATAAACAAATTTCCATGAACTTTTTGTTTACCCCTTGTACAGCTGGCCTAGGAAATTTATAGCCATCCTAAAATCATCAAGCTGGGATTTTATCTGGGAACATTCTAGTACATTTAAATATAACAAAATAAACCCTGTTGTTAAATAAGCAATGTAAAGTCTAATCAAAATTTGTTACTCACATTTTAACCCATTCCCGAAGGGCATGGCATGTATGTACATGCCATGCCCACTGCGAGTTTACTTGTTTAATTGTTTCTAAACATAGATGGCTACACTTGAACTAAATCACCAATGAGCCAATTACGAGTACTGTCTGTCTCGCCCGTTGACCTTTTTCTTTACGTTATCTTATTTTGTTATTACTGATGTTTATAACATTATAGTAATTATAATGTTTATAATGAAAATAACACCATCGATATTCACTGCACTGGTAAAAAATACATTTTCCCACCAATTCAAGAAAAGGTGAAATCAGAGCCATCTATGTGTAGAGATATTTTACAAAAAAAAAAAGCAAAGCAAAGCATTTTCCCCATTTTTTATTCCTTTTCCCCGGCGGCAATGGGTTAATATATGAAGTGAAATGCAGGAGAAAGCACATGAAAGAATATAAATTAAGGCCTTCTACTATATTACAGCTTAAATTTGCTAAAGGATGAATGTTCTAAAATAATTATAATAATGACAAAATAAATAAATGAAATGAATATGTAAATATATATTATGATTTTATTTTAACTGGTGGCCGCAATATATAAAATACAGTTCCCAAATAAAGAGTCAAACACATAATATACCATAATTACATACCTCTCCAGGGTTAAGTGTACATTCATACAAATTAGGATCATCTTTTCTTAGCGGATAGTCTTCCATCAACCACTGCAATGTTGTGCGATTAGGATGGAAGTTTGGGTTCACATTGGGAGGGTACATAAACCATCTTTTTCGTCCCCACCTGCAAAGAGGTGGACATATCTTTAGATTCTAAGACTAACAATATGTTCTGAGATCAATTTTAGCAGTAAAGTATTTCATTCATAATCCTATCAGTCTTACTAACAACAAATTAACAATTTACAACAAAATAACAATTTACAACAAAACAATGCTATCCACTCATGGAAAAACAGCCAATCCATCAAAATATCAATAAGCCTGAAGTAATCCCTCTATCAAAACAAGGTAAGCAAAATCCATCATTGCTGTATTGATAATTGCATTTACAATAACATATAGTGCAGTGGTTTTACTTTGAAGCAAATAGCAAAGTACTTACATGGTCTCTGCAAATCCTGGCCCATGGAAATGAAAGGGAACACCAGTGCCTGGACCTTAGAAAAAAAATAGAATATTAACCAACTATTGCCTGGAAAACTTAGTGTTCACTGTAGTAATGTTTTGTGAAATGCCTCCGCACATAGATGGCTTCACAAGTACAAAGGTTTGCAGATATTTTTTTTTACTACTGCTATCAATATTGATGCTGTTATTATTATCATAATTATAATTATTGCAGTGTCATAGAAACATTAAGGCCTTCTACTATATTACAGCTTAAATTTGCTAAAGGATGAATGTTCTAAAATGATTATAATAATGTTAAAATAAATAAATGAAATGAATATGTAATTATATGATATGATTTTATTTAAACTGGTGGCTGCAATATATAAAATACAGTTCCCAAATAAAGAGTCAAACATATAATATACCATAATTACATACCTCTCCAGGGTTAAGTGTACATTCATACAAATTAGGATCATCTTTTCTAAGCGGATAGTCTTCCATCAACCACTGCAATGTTGTGCGATTAGGATGGAAGTTTGGGTTCACATTAGGAGGGTACATGAACCATCTTTTTCGTCCCCACCTGCAAAGAAGTGGACATATCTTTAGATTCTAAGACTAACAATATGTTCTGAGATCAATTTTAGCAGTAAAGTATTTCATTCATAATCCTATCAGTCTTACTAACAACAAATTAACAATTTACAACAAAATAACAATTTACAACAAAACAATGCTATCCACTCATGGAAAAACAGCCAATCCATCAAAATATCAATAAGCCTGAAGTAATCCCTCTATCAAAACAAGGTAAGCAAAATCCATCATTGCTGTATTGATAATTGCATTTACAATAACATATAGTGCAGTGGTTTTACTTTGAAGCAAATAGCAAAGTACTTACATGGTCTCTGCAAATCCTGGCCCATGGAAATGAAAGGGAACACCAGTGCCCGGACCTTAGAAAAAAATTAGAATATTAACCAACTATTGCCTGGAAAATTTAGTGTTCACTGTAGTAATGTTTTGTGAAATGCCTCCGCACATAGATGGCTTCACAAGTACAAAGGTTTGCAGATATTTTTTTTTACTACTGCTATCAATATTGATGCTGTTATTATTATCATAATTATAATTATTGCAGTGTTACTGCCATTATAGGAATACAAGATACTGGAAAATATTTCCAAAAATCAATTAAAAGGGTAAACAGGTGAGATAGGTAGTCCTCATAACTGGCACATTGGTGACTAGGTACTTGTCGAGCCATCTATGTGTAATAAACTAAACTCATAGTGTGCATGGCATGTACATACATGGCATACCCAGTGAAATCAGATTAACTATGATTTTTTACCAGGTACTGCATCAAAATTCATGAAACTGGAGGGCATATAAATGATATTGAAAATCCAAGAGGCTAGAGCAGACTATTCTTCATTGCCTATTTTTCACAACTTACCTGCAAGACCAAAACTCAATGCTGGCAAATGATAGGGTAATCTATAGGGAGGTTGTATATACTGCTCCAAAAGGTCTTGCCACTCCTCATGATTGTTGTCACCAAAGAAGTAAAAAGTCTCTGAAAAAAAAAAAAAAAATCAAAGTGAAGTGAATGTAATATACAATCCTTAATACTGCACTACTCTAAGATGTATTAATTTATCTATTTGTTTGTATAAGACACCCATTACATCTGGGTAATGAATAACAAAAGGAAAACAGAGAATTCTGAGAAATAAGTCTCTCCTCTATTATTCCTGTGGATTATGAGTGACATAGTGCAGACTGTAAAGTTTATTTTAGCAGTAATATTAACCCAATGCCGCCAGGTGGTTTCCCGATACAAAAGCCCTCTCTCCTAGGTTGATTCATATTGGCCTGGGCCCTGCTGCTGGGGGATCATGTCGTCACCATAGTGTGCGCAGTATGACCATACATGCCTCCGGAAAACAAGACCAGCACACCATGTCATGTATGCACATGCCACCCAGAATATAGTCCAGGCATGTCATGGTATGTATGTATGTGCCACCTGGGGGCAATGGGTTAAACCATTAAGAAGTTTTGTATATAAAGACAATCATCACAAATTAAATGTACTGGCAGTTGAATCCCTGTTACAAAGGTTATGTCGGGCACATTCTAAGCCAACCAGTTATATGAATTCTTCCTCTTATATCATAAACACAAAACTTTACATACCATTCCCAAGAGTAGTTAATTTTTGAGGATGGACATGGCGAACACAGTATTCATTGAATGTAACATCTTTTTTGTCATAGCTATAGCTATTGGCTGAGCTCAAACGTACAGTTGTATGCCCATAGCCCTCCAATAATGCTGAACGGCGAGTGAGAGTCTGAAACACCTGAAATTGACAAATATGTGAGTATAGCATTACAACACCCAAAAACATCAGGCAGATCTGAAATCCTGAATGTAGGAATCAACACCTACTAAATATTACAATGATGAAGCATACAAATCTGAGATTCAAACAAACAGAATAAACGTCTGATGAGAAACAGTTAAATCTATCTTTTTATAGTTCTGATTAAAAGATGACCACCATGAACCATAACAAGTGCAGATGCACAACAGCATCAGTTTCATCCCAGCTCTACTCCTTAGGTGTGCCAGAGTGCAGCTCTTGCAAAATGTTTGAAGTCTAAATGCTACTTTGACTAAAATTGAAAATCTGAATTACAAATGAAATTAACAATCAATTAAAAAAAAATAATAATAATAATTTTAGTTTATAAACATAACAATTCAGTGTGCAATATAATACCTTCTAGAATGTTATATAATAAATATTTGTCAAAGAGAATAATCATTACGAAGCTCAAGGCTCTAGTATAAAAAAGTACTGTACTTAGTGAATGTTACAAAATGATGCCTTACCTGATTATCTGTTGCTCCCTTGATGACTACTGGCTCAGAGTATGCATATCTTGTGATAAAAAAAAAATAAATAAATAAATAAAATTATATATATATATATATATATACATATATATACATATATATACATATATATACATATATATACATATATATACATATATATACATATATATACATATATATACATATATATACATATATATACATATATATACATATATATACATATATATACATATATATACATATATATACATATATATACATATATATACATATATATACATATATATACATATATATACATATATATACATATATATACATATATATACATATATATACATATATATACATATATATATATATATACATATATATATATATATATACATATATATATATATATATATATATATATATATATATATATATATATATATATATATATATATATACACATATATATATACACATATATATACACACATATATATATACACATATATATACACATATATATATACACATATATATATACACATATATATATACACATATATATATACACATATATATATATATATATATATATATATATATATATATATATATATATATATATATATATATATATATATATATATATGTATATGTATATATGTATATATATGTATATATATGTATATGTATATATATGTATATATATGTATATATGTATATATATGTATATATATGTATATATATGTATATATATGTATATATATGTATATATATGTATATATATGTATATATATGTATATATATGTATATATATGTATATATATGTATTATATATATATATATATATATATATATATATATATATATATATATATATATATATATATATATATTTCTAATTTCTAAGATATTTCATTATTTTATTATCAGATTATGTGAACAAAGAAAAAAAATCTAAATACACAGCTTTAATGCTATATCATACACATCATCTACAAGATTAATATAATACATGTACAGTTATCCAACACAAACACAATATATGCTAAAAAAAGAGATACTACAGATTCAGATTTTTCATTTAACTTCAAGCAAACTTGCAAACTGCATGAATCCTACTCCATCAGTAAATAGAAACCAGAGCTTCTTACTTCTTTATAAAGTCTTCCTGACTCAAGGATCCATCCTCCACATTAATGCTGCACGGTCCGGGTTGAGCAATCCTATCCTTGTCTTTAGTTGTCCTGGTGGAAATGAGTTAATGATCAGGATAAGATGTGTTAGATGTCAAAGGCTGTAGAATGCTGTAGGATAAAATATTAGTGAAAAGAGAAGGAAAAAATGGAATACAGTGGGGAGTTGCAAAAAGATTTGGTTAAAGGTATAGTGTGATCTGATCAAATGTAGAGAATGTGTCTGAGAAAGGGTGAGTAACACTGTATGGGAAAACTGCAAATGGTAATATGGTAAGAAATGATAGTTGTGGAAGTAAGAGAGGAATCCAGAGAATGAAATAAGGGAACAGGGGATGGTGGTGAATTATCAGGAAGAATGTCAGGAGGGGAGGGATCCACAAAGGACAATGTTTTGACTGAAGGGTGTCAGATAAGCATCTAAGTGGGGGTGTGGTAAAGATAGTGGGGAAAAAAGAAGGATTGGTGATGCACATGGAGGAGAGGATGGGGTGTTATTTGGGTGAGTGGGAGAAAGAGGGAGAACTTAAGGAGGAGGAGGATGGATATCAGCAGATACTTTGAATGTAAAGTGAATAAAGGGATTAGAGGGCGGATGAGGGAGTGGATCATTCTCTTGAGTGAACTTTTGTCTTCAATAGTTTCTGAAGGGGAGTTCAGTGGGGAGGTCTGAGAAACAAAGCTTTTCTTACGTGGAGAAGAGAGAAGTTGTCCGAGGAGCAAACTGAGAGGTGGTATATATATATATATATATATATATATATATATATATATATATATATATATATATATATATATATTTCTAATTTCTAAGATATTTCATTATTTTACTATCAGATTATGTGAACAAAGAAAAAAAATCTAAATACACAGCTTTAATACTATATCATACACATCATCTACAAGATTAATATAATACATGTACAGTTATCCAACACAAACACAATATATGCTAAAAAAAAGAGATACTACAGATTCAGATTTTTCATTTAACTTCAAGCAAACTTGCAAACTGCATGAATCCTACTCCATCAGTAAATAGAAACCAGAGCTTCTTACTTCTTTATAAAGTCTTCCTGACTCAAGGATCCATCCTCCACATTAATGCTGCACGGTCCGGGTTGAGCAATCCTATCCTTGTCTTTAGTTGTCCTGGTGGAAATGAGTTAATGATCAGGATAAGATGTGTTAGATGTCAAAGGCTGTAGAATGCTGTAGGATAGAATATTATTGAAAAGAGAAGGAACAAATGGAATACAGTGGGGAGTTGCAAAAAGATTTGGTTAAAGGTATAGGGTGATCTGATCAAATGTAGAGAATGTGTCTGAGAAAGGGTGAGTAACACTGTATAGGGAAAACTGCAAATGGTAATATGGTAAGAAATGATAGTTGTGGAAGTAAGAGAGGAATCCAGAGAATGAAATAAGGGAACAGGGGATGGTGGTGAATTATCAGGAAGAATGTCAGGAGGGTAGGGATCCACAAAAGGACAATGTTTTGACTGAAGGGTGTCAGATAAGCATCTAAGTGGGGGTGTGGTAAAGATAGTGGGGAAAAAAGAAGGATTGGTGATGCACATGGAGGAGAGGATGGGGTGTTATTTGGGTGAGTGGGAGAAAGAGGGAGAACTTAAGGAGGAGGAGGATGGATATCAGCAGATACTTTAAATGTAAAGCGAATAAAGGGATTAGAGGGCGGATGAGGGAGTGGATCATTCTCTTGAGTGAACTTTTGTCTTCAATAGTTTCTGAATGGGAGTTCAGTGGGGAGGTCTGAGAAACAAATCTTTTCTTATGTGGAGAAGAGAGAAGTTGTCCGAGGAGCAGACAGAGAGGTGGGTGTATGAGAGGATGTGGTAGGAGAAGATGGAGTGGAACTTTTTGATTCTCTGGTGTGACAGGTAGAGTGAGAAGGAGGGGGAGGGGGAGGCACTAGGGAAGTAGTAGAGAGTGGAGTATCTGGATTTAGACTGGAAAAGGAATTTCACTGGGGGAAAGAGGTAGTAGAGATAGGTTGGTTTGGGCTAGAGAGAAGAGATACTGGTGGAGATGCTGAGACTTCTTGAGAAGATGAGAGGGGAGCAGAGCAAAGTACAATTTTTGAATAGGTAGAAAAAGAAAAACCTTGTCAGCATGCTTCTTGTCTAGCCTCACATGGAGTAAGGTCTAGTTTGAATCTGAGATTCAGATTCAAGCTTGTAAGCAGGGCAGCTCCTACAAAATACAATATAGGAGCCACCGCAACTGGTACATGTGCGTGACTGAGAATAGCAATTTGAATGGTCATGACCACAGGGAGCCATGGTCTAAGGAGAGGCAGGGGTCGGGAAACCAATGAAATAAAATTTAGATTGGCTAGTTGATGAAGGGACAAGCCTTAATATCCCTAAGAAGGGTAAAACATCTTCATTATTGGCCATGGTGAGCCAGAAATAAATGAGGAGGAAATGGTCTACTCCTCAGGGTCCCCATGAGGGGTATTGGCTAGACAATTAACCAAGGGAATGCCATGCCCATGGCTTCCGAAGGCCATTCATGACTGAAACAAAGCTAGCCTTTTATCCTTTCAGCAGGGCTCTCACCCCTTAGGATGTGGACAGAAGAAGGGGATGATGATGAAGAGAAGGAAAGGAATGGGGGAAAAGAAAAGACCATGCAAAATAAGTTGAGGCAAGGGCTAAGGTCCAAGGTAGGGATGATCCCTTCTATTGGGCCTCAGTCTCCATTATCTAAGCTCCCCACGACAACAGCATGGAATTAGGGAGGTAACATTAAGAACTCTGCCAGCAAGAGGGTATTGTAGTCTCTAAGCCGTTATATGTAGTTGATATTTTCATCAGTTCCCCGTAAATATGAGGTCACAACAACTGTATCAGTGTTATTTGACTTATATATTATGCTCTATAGGATGACGGTGTCCGTTTCCCTCTATTTCTGTGCGTTGCTCTCGGTAACATAAACTAAGTCCTCGATTTAGGATGGTTTATGGGTCATAGGGCGATGTTTGTGGATTTCGAGTAGCTGGAGTAATTAGGACTTCAGATGGTTGCTGTCACTCGTACACAATTGCCAATACTCTCACGTATATCATTTACGATGAAAAACAAGTGATTACACTTATTACATCGCGAATATTTGATACATGAAGTAATAAAGGCTAGGCTGGGCGGATATGGACACTAAATTATTCCCATCATACAAAACCATTGCCTAATATCACACAAAATCGATCGACCCCTTCAAATACCATTCATGCTTCACTTATCTATACATTACTTACCAGCCTCCGTCGTCACCCAGCAAGTTCGACTCGGTCTCAACTTCCACAATGGTCAACAAGGTAAATAAAAGAACTATTTGCAGACATATACAGCTGCAAATAAATGTGTAGTCTCCCATCATTTGGGATTTTTCAAACGAGGCGCTCCTATGCCGGGTTGGCTCGTCCGCGTCACGCCATGGGTCTGAGGTTGTGGAAACAGCTCATTGGCCGGGAACCTCGGAGAAAACGAACTGGCTGCAGGGGTGACTAGATAAAACGTAACCCCGAGCGCTTTCAGTAGTTATGCGGTATAAACTGAGCCGTGTGGTCACAGCTGCTTCGCATATATTTCTCCTGGGATTTTTTTAAGAGGGCGAGCTTAGAGCACTATAGACTAAATAAGGAGCGAAGCACATTTTTTTTAGGGGGGGGGGGACGGTGAATAAAACTCAAGACTAAACATAAAATCTTATTGGATTGATGTCTATGGATTAAATACAATATATATTTCTATACAACTTTTTTTCTGGTATTCACGATATATAAATTAATTCTTATTTTTGTTGTAGTTGTACTAAAAAACTACAGTTGCAGTAGTTTTACGGAGAGGGTCGAGTACCATGGTACTGGTGATACCGATATGATTACAATACATACATGTTTAGAAGCATCTGCTCTTGAATCCTTTGGCTGAGGTAAATTTAGTATTGCTGTATATAAATAAATAGTATTAATATATATAAAGATTGACGATAACCAGGAGCGTTAATTGGGGGAGGGGGGAGGCAGTTGTTGTACCAGTCTATTCTTTGTAGGTTTGTAATTAAATTCAATTAGCTCTAAAAGTTGGTGTGGCCCTTGGGGAGGGAGGCGTACAGTCTTGGGGGGAACTGCCCCCTCCAGCCCCCCTTCCCAATTGACACCTTGTTCCACAAGCTTTCAGAAACTTGACGTCATTAGCCGTCTTATGTGGTAATGGTGGATTGGTGTACTTCAGCTCGGAATCATTATAGAGAACGAACTTGGGAGAGGAGAGACTAAACAAGACATACTTTATTTTATTATAATTATTTTTTTCAATTTTCAAAGGTCACATAGCACAAGTAAGTACAGTGGTAAGAGGGGTAAAGCCGGGGTTTAATGTGATAATGAGTTGATGTGCTCATGGCAAAAGTCACACAGCATATTAGGTTAGTATTTGGTATTGAAAAGTGTTAAGTGGGTGAGGTAAAGAGGGCGAGTAAAAAGGGCAGAGCAGGGATTAGCAAAATGGAAGATACAGTTCTGTCAGAACAGAGATTGATAATATTTCAGTATGGAGGGGTTATCATCACTGAATGATAAGGGTAAAAATGGATGTTGAAGAAATAGGAGGGGAAGAATTGGGGTAAGAAACAAGAGACTAGGGGAGAGTTTCTGGAGGAATGTCAGGAGGGGGAAGATCTAGGGAAGGGCCCTGTTGTGAAAGGTGAGTCACGTGTGTATCCATGAGGGAGCAGAAGGGATAACAGGGAAGGCAGGAAGGGATAACAGGGAAGGCAGGAAGGGATAACAGGGAAGGCAGGAAGGGATAACAGGGAAGGCAGGAAGGGATAACAGGGAAGGGAGGGATAGATAGAGCTGGGGGAGATGCTGCATGTTGAAGTGGGAGGAAAAGTTGTAGGGGATACATAAGGATGATGAAAGGATAGAAGTTGGCAATCACCGAGTGTTGAGCGAATGGTGGATGAGGGATAGGTATGTTATTTTGGGTCATGATTAGATCTTAAATGTCATCAAAAGTTTCTAAGAGGGAGTTGGTTTGGGAGGTCTGAGAAACAAAGGTCTTCTTATGAGGAGGGAAAGAGGGGATAGATATCTGAGGAGAAGAGGAGGGAGATGTACGAGAGGTTGCAGTAGAAGATAGGGTTTGGTCCAAGGTAGGGGTCATCCCCAACACTAGGTCTAATTCTCCATGTCCTAGACCATCCCCCATCCCCCCAACAGGGCATGAGATTTTTTTTATGTACAAAAGGCAAGGTCAATATGTCTGACAATAATATATGTAAAAATGTACTCAACCACCCAAAGAGCCGAGAATGGCAATGCTTTTAAACATTTGATTGGACTTCAAAATATAGCGATAGAGTGGGGCTTGGAGCAAAGCCTCCCATGTAAGAAGTTATTTGGTTCACAAGGTGATGTTTGTGGTTTTCAAAATGGTCAGTTGTTAAAAACAAAAGTGCCAAACATCAAAGGTCACACAGCATTATGACAAAGTATTGTGGCAAAACGGGTAAAAATGAGTTAATGATTAGGAGAAGTGGACAGCAGAAGGGATCAAGAAAAGGAAAAGGAAAGAAGAAAAGACCAAGCAGAATTAGTCGAGACGAGGGCCGAGGTCCAAGGTAGACATGATCCCCTTCATTGGGCTTCAATCTCTACCTCTAAAGCTCCCCCATGGCAACAATGACCAAGGGATTGAAGGGATTACACTGCTCAGTGGTTTGATTTTATCAATTTTATTTCAACACTAGTTTTATAACTGCTTAATAACCAAAAATTAAATTACTTGGCCTAACTGATTTCACTGACTGACCCCTCTCCTTGAACTTTTGGGAAAATAGGTTTTACATCTATTAACATTTAAATTGTTATTAATGTCATTGTTAGCATTGTCA